AATATTGGATGGCGCTTGCACCTAAATTCCGTGTTCTGTGGGAGAGGGGAGAGGGGACGAAACCGGATTACAACGGTAGTACGTGACAATGTGTCAGTGATTGTATCAAGGTAGCTTTTAAAACGTTATGTTTGTTTGACGCTGGATTCCATTTGAGTTGTGGAAATGCGCGAAATATTTTAGCAAATGATTGGAGAAACTCTGTTTTGTGGACCAATCAGAAGCAAAACAAATCAAGAAATAAACGCGAATTTCCCCCCCTAAAGGTATTGCCAGTGGTCTAGAACGCCTGCCAGCAGTGGTCGGAAACTTTGCACCATTTTGTTCGTAATTACGTCTCTGGTTCATAGGGAATCGACAAGGTTAGCTAGAAATCGCACAACTTCAACGTTTTTAATCTTAACAATATTTAGGAAGAAGTTCAGTTGGCTGAAGTTCTCTATTCTGCTTTTGTCAAAATCACTAAATTACGAAAACTTCATTTCCGCTTGTTTTTCAGTTGCGACTAAAATGGCACAAAGTTCTTCCTGCCTCGTTTATGAGAAAAGCGTTTCTTTCAGGGATAGACAGCTGATGATCAACGATTCGGAGGAACATTAGTAATTATTTAACGATGAAAACTGCATAAAGGAAAATAAAGCGGAGCGTACTATGTCTGCAAAGGAGATAAAACACAGCTGACAGCGTTGTCGTCAAGAGCGGTAAGAACTAACACGATCATAATGACCAAATGTCGTTAATAATTTACAAACGTTTTATCTGAGAAGCTGAATAACCTATCAGATCCTGTCACTTTGATTTGCATTGGCAATCAACAAACCGCACAACGAAGCCCATAGGTTTACACCATCATTAACAACATTGCACAAAATATATTCTCTTCACATGAACGTCAACAAGATCCGAAGAACAGGATTTTATACCACATTCTTCTTTCTTTATTAAGTTTCCCTGCTTGTAATTTTTTTTTAAATTCCTTACTGGAAAACAATGGATCCAGATACATTGATGTTTGGTTTCAACGCAAGCACGGCGACCAAAGTTGAAGACAGTGACAATGTCATGATACAGATGGCCTTGAAACAAGTGGAAAACACTCTAAAAGAGCTTGGTATAAGAGCATCACAAGGATACGCGCTGGGATATGAACTGGGATACATAAAGGGAGTTCTGGAACATGTTCTGAAGATTGTACCAGAGTCAGTAAACAAGGAGGCTTACATGAAGGGGTATGTGAGCGGTTACATACAAGGAATGCTGTATTCTTTTAATCAAGGACAAATGCAGAGAGGGAACCCGGACAACAAGCAAAATTGAAAATGTGCGAAGTGCTGTAATCTTCTCGGCCCGGGTTTCATTTTGTCTCGGGAAAATAAATTACACGAAAAAAAAAGTAATGCTTCACTTGAACAGGAAGATGTTATTATCTTCAATCTGCACTGTCCGTAGAGACTCTAATTCAACATTTCTCTCGCTTTCTTGATGTCAAAGCACTTTGTAATCCCTTTGCAAAAGTATTTTTTCGCACCAATTGATGAAAGGAAGAAACTAACATGAAAGTAACGGAAAGACATTACAGGACAAGCGCAGCTAAACAATTCTTATTCAACGACGCTGCCAGGCAAACCGTCATTGAGGACCATCCCCCAATACGTTGTTCAATACACAAGAAGACAGTTCTTTTCAGAACTGTAGAATTTCTGATACAGAGATTCGTAAAAGAAAGCCCTCTGTAGTTTTCTTTTTACTTGAATTAAAAAAAGAAAAACAAATAACCTATGCACAGGGGTACTTTAAATTACTCTTTATTACATGTATACCACAAAAACTAAAACTACCACGATAAGTCATTCGTGTCAGCATCGCCAAGTTTCCACTGCTCACGCTGAACAGAACGTACACCATGAGCTCACGGTAATTATTTTTTGCCGAGCATTCTGTAGAGACATTCAGGTGGTATCGGAACTACGTTCGAACTTCGGTAGACAATTCGGAAACTCTTCAGCAATCTTCGGGTCAATTCGAAGCATTTCAGTGGACTGCTGGATCCATTTCGGTCACCTGAAACATTAGGAGGGCCATCGCTCTTTTCATTTCACCTTCTGGGTGGGATGTTGATGTAGAGGAACATGATCCCAGCGCGTAAAAGTCGGACGGGCTTTGCTTACGCGTGTAAATGTCCAATAATTTTTGGACGTTGCCGTCCCAGATGTTCCACAATTTAGGCAAATATATAACTTCAGTAATTTAATAAGTTACGCAAGTTCCTTATGTCCAGCACATGATGGTCTTGTAACCGGTGCGCGTAAAATGCAAGGTGATGTCCGAAACTGTATTTAAGTTTGTCTGTGTCCAGATTACCGAGTTACCGTAAGATCACAGAAGCAGCGTCACCCTCCAAGACGGGTGGATAAATTCCATGATGAAGATCATACTCACGACGGAGAAACGCAAACAGAATGTCAGACGTCAATAAGATCTGCAAATGAAGCAAAAAGAGGAAAACCTCAAGACAGCAAAACGAATACAAATGATGCAAAGTTTGGAGGTAGAGGTAAGGTCGAACTCCCGACCACAAAACATTGTTACGTTGTCTCTGTTGTTTACTTCTCCGTTGGACTCGGTAGATTCAAAATGCCGCTTCTATCATAGCTTTGGAAGATCTGAAGACATCGATGTCAGAATTTACAGCCTTTTTTGGTGGGAGGGGGGAGGGGTAAGCAAAAGACCTTTTTATGGTTTCTGACGCCATCTTGCTTGGAAGCGAGCACGCCAAAAATCACAGTAAATGTATGGGAAAATTCAAATGGTCGATGCCCAATAATTTGAGAGTGATTAACTTTCTGGGTATTTTATGTGTTGCAGGAAAAAGATAAAAGAAGACGGTTTTTTTGACATAAGATTTGCTGTGAGGCGAGGAATTGAATTTGTAGTTTTTCATAAAAATGTCTCGAAATTTTCCGACGAATAACGACTCGGTTTTACAGAAAATATGTATGGAAAAATGGAAACCTTTATTGTGGCTATTCTAGAGAGGCTATTTCTCTCAAACTTGATCCGTAAATTCCTTTACCTGATATCTTAAGTTTTTAATTCATAAATATTTCGAAACTCGAATTTTCCGTGGGTTGTTAGACATTAGATTTTCCATTTTTCCCATACATCTACTTTAATTTTTGCCGGGGTGTAGCTCCAAGCAAGATGGCGTCAGAAACCGTGAAAAGGTCTATTATGAGATCACTAAGACCAATGTCCATGAAACCCATATAAGCAAGACTTCACATTTAACTAAACTACGCAACTAAATTGCCTGAGTGATAAAAAAATTAGTCCCAAAGACAATCTTATGGCTAATTTGTCTGAGCCCGCAATTTTCTCTTCCAGTTGCAACGCTGCTCCATTTCTTTGAAGTGATAGCTGATGAGGCCGAAGGCTACTCCTATCACGTTCCTATCCATTGACCTACAAAAAAAAAACTCTCTTCAATAGTTGGCAACTTCGAGGCGTTTTGACACTGAATTGGCTTACAGGGAAATATGTGAATCCACAGTGCCAGGAGGGACAGTGGAAGTGCGGTATCACCTAGGGCAGGATAGGACTTCATAATAGCCATCACGGAACAGAGTATACAGGCGAGAAACGTTGGATTATTCCTGAAAGGAAAAAAGTTTCATGCTGTTACGTTCTGACTTTCTCCAAGTGTTCGAAGACTCTGTGTTGGTTTGTAAGTACATGTACTAAACAGTGGGCAACGATTTTTATTGAGGAGAAAGTAGATTACATTCCTACAGGCGCGCATTCCGCCACTATTTCTGGCCAAATCCCGCCATCCNTGTACTTAACAAGAGCTAGAAGGAAAGCCCTTTGTGACTTTAAGAACATTGATATTGACGTTGAAACCCACTAGGGAGCCATTATGTAAACACTGCTGAAATAGGTTTTAATGGTTTATTTCTTTTATTTACTTTTACCTTGTAATATACCGATACTGACGTTGAAACCCAGGAGGGAGCCATTATGTAAACACTGTTTTATTTTACTTAACAGTGGGTAACGATTTTTATTGAGGAGAAAGTAGATTACATTCCTACAGGCGCGCATTCCGCCACTATTTCTGGCCAAATCCCGCCATCCCGCCCCAGTCAGGATATTTATCCCGATCCTGCCCCGTTAGAGTTGCAGTTTTCCCCTTAACGCCCGTAACCTGTGATTTTCTGTTTTTCATCCTGCATGCCACTCGTCAAAATGAGCAAATCCCGCTCCCGCCGTTAAAATTTCCATTAAAATTGCTGTCTTCCCGCATCCCACCTTTATTTTTATTCCCATCCCGTATCCAGCTACACATATGTTGGACCCTGTAAGAGAAACAACTTACAGTAAAGTGGATTGAGTGAACCAAAGAATTACGAACCATACCTTAATTTGAGGGTCAAAGGGATGCAATAGAAAAAGGCATTGAGTTGAAACACCCAGAGAAAGAAAATCCTAAAATGTTCAAACATCTCCGTAAAGAAGTACCAGAACAGTCCCATGTTTGGTGTGAGATCAGAAACCTGCAGACTGAAGAGCAACAATAAAAATAAGTCATTTTAAAATTCTGTTTCTTCAGAAAGCAAGGGGATCTTCCAGTTGGTTGGTAAAATTTAAGTGTGGTAGCCTAGAAAATTAAAATTAATTTTTCTGCTACCAGAGAAAAACTCAAGTTCCAATGAAAATGTACACTTTCTACTTACATAAACCCATGAGTTGCACTTAGGAAGTCCCACGAGTTGAACACATGATAGGACATGCTAAGCAAAAGCACTGTCCATATAATAAAGGAAGCAACAACTTGACTGACAAACACAACAGTCTTCTTGCTGAGTTCAATATCAGTAAACCTAACCTGCAAGAAATATGTTTAAAAACATCCATTAAGATAGTGATAAGTTAACAAAGATGGTGAATTTTAAGCTCGGTAATGAAATGTGAAGGTGAATTAATCAACATGACATGAGCGTGGGACAAAGAAAAATTCT